ATTTTAATCTTTTTTTTTTTTTTTTTTTTCTTTTCGATCCCACTTGCCATTCGCTTTGTGCCACGAAGCAGCGATCTGACGATCCGATGACAAATAATTACGATTTTAATTGAACGACGACGCAATCTTTTATAAATGAATTGTTCAATGACGGACAGGATGCGAATGGAGTCAGAGAGCCATACACAATCAGAGCGTCTTTTTATTTTGTGTGTAATAATTGTAGCAGTCGTAATAAGGTAACGCTCTAGCTTGAGAGAAAATTTTCTTATGTTTTTTTTAACGCGTCACTCGTACCCTCGTGCGAACGACCATAGCGCCTAAGATATCGAGAGTAAACGGCAGAGAGGGGATAATCTTTGAGAAATTGAAAAAAAAAAAATAAAGGTATTTTGAAACTAACGATCTCCCAATATCGAGGAACCGCAAAATAAGAACCAGTGAGATTTGGAATTTTGGTCGCTTCCAAAATTCGAAAAGGCGGCTTCGATGTAACGTAATTTTGGATCTCAGATTTTTGTCACGCCGGCTCTTGGCCCCTCGCCGATCACTTGGAGGAACGTCCAGTCCCTACGGACGACGTTAAGCTAACGGGGGTCGGAGGGGAAGGACGAAAAAGGAAGAAATGAAAGGTTGACACTCTGGAGAAAAGAAAAAGAATGGCATAATATTAATATTATCTGTCCCATAATAAACAATAGATAGAGCGTTGTCTGTTTATCTGTACGTACCATGATACTCAAGCTTTTACACTTAATGACGTAACTGCTGGTAGCAGCATAGATATAATACACCGATTTAATGCAATACTGCAGAAGATTATATTGTATACTATGATGCAAGACCCTTGGTTGTTTAGCTCAGTATTTTTATATTTTATATATCGAGTGTACTTAATTTAAGATGCTGTGGTGAAGTTTATGTTTTTTTCTTTCTTCCGGTACTCCCCCATTTAATTGTAAAATTTCATTTCTCACGTATCACCGAGTTATTACAGTAACACGAAAATTGCCTAATATTATATGAAAATGTATATTGGAAAGTCACGCAGAATCAACAACCATCAGTCATAAAAAGTTGAGAATTTTTTGAAGCTGATTTCAAAGTGCTCCCCTCATCCCTATCCTCTCCCATCCTCGGGCCAGGCCAAGATTTAATTTTTATACCACTTACTTTTTAACGTGATTGTATGTAAATTGAAATAAAAGAAATTTTAGTTTATAAAGACCTCCTCGCTCACATCTATTCTAACGAATAAGCATGGTTGCGCCGTGATTACAGAGATATTTTATGAAACCTTTTATTTCCACGTAGTGCGGTATACGTTTGATCAACCGAGATGTAGTTGTTATTGTTAGATTATGAGAATTTCATGAAAAGTCGATCATTATGTCTGACAGTGGCTTACGAGAGAGCGCAGGGACAGTTGCGTCCGCAGCTGGATATCCAACTGGAAAAAGTAAAATGAGTTTTTCATATGCAGGACGGCCAAGTAGATTGCGAATCGCTGGACCACAATTCATTGGAGTCGTCGTGACTGTCGCCAGGCCTGCGTACTGAATTAAAGAAAGCATCATTATGAAACGACGATAAAAGCTTTTCTTTGGATAGAAATTCTCTAAGTTATTGTAACGGGCGTTTTGCGAGTGGCCTCCTGGAATATTCTTGTATGGATACAGAGATAGTATTCGGTAGGAGTGTTCTTTTGTGGGAAGAGCGTGGAGAAAGTGTACACCTCAGAAAAACAGTATTCAGCCTATGAATGAAAGTGAAAGGTGGTTTCGTGCAGAATTGTGAAGAATTATATGAAATTAGTTTTATGTAAGATATCAGTGACAAGTGGGACGTCTGGATTAATTTGATACGTTCTCTTGGACATGTGTATTTCCCTTTAGAATATTCTGATAAATACCTGTATGGCGGTTATAAGTATTCCAGCCGCCATGTTTACACTGATCTCTTTGTAGTAATGAACTCTTTTATCTCCGTCCGAGGTGAAGCTGTGCATTTGTTGAAATACCAGTATCAGATACGGCGCGGTAGTCAAATATTCCTTGATCCAGTTTGTCTTTAGCTTCTTCAAGTCGTTGACCCACTTGATGCCCATTCTCTTTTTATAATTAATTTCCTCCTCGGTTTCTACGATTTCACGTATTTCCATCTTCAAACGTGGATTCGACACGACGGCAAAGGTCCATGGCTGTGTGTGAGCACCGCTTGGTGAAGTACCTTAAATAAATGTAATTGTTAAGAAGGTATGATGGAAAAAAAAAAGTAACGTACCGGCAGCCTTTATAATGTTTTCTATTATTTCCTTTGGCACAGGTTCCGGACTGAACTTCCGGACAGAGCGTCTCAAATTAATCGTTTTGTAAAAGTCACGTGACCTTGCTATCATGTCACTTGTTGGAAACTTCACGTAATCCTTGTACGGTACGTGGTCCACGTCGCAGTCGTAATGATCCTCTAGAAAAATAATTGAATTCGTGTATAATAATTAGAAATGTAATTACAAGCTTTTACACTGAAACGTAAAGATGCGCAGCAAACGTTCTAACCAAAAAAAATCACTTTACCTTTCACTTCACCCGATCCAGTATCACCGTTCAAATCATTCCCTGTATAAATCCGCTGTATCCTCTTGAACATTTGCATTATAATATTTCCAATAACAAATGATATGATACTGACAGCCATGTAGCGCCAATATTTTCTAACAAGCGGTAGACTCTCGTTTAACATTTTATCAATTTATTTTTTAACCAGCAAGAATAAGACCGAGCGACACGCCTCGACTCTCCAAACGGAATGAAGAACTCGCTTACTGTCGTATAAACTGAAATCCTGTTTTCGTACAATATATGCAAAGAGTCGCCGACGAGAAATCTACGTTCTGATATACCTACATCGCCACCAACACACTTATGCTTGTGCACTGACGCGGTAAGTACGATAATTCTTATTTATCTTTAAAAAAACGATAAACCGTTTTTCATATATATCTCAGAGAAGTGTAACATTCTGATTAAACCATTAGTGAATTTATAATATATTTGTGCATGCAATTAACTATTTCCATCGACTAAGGTTACTGGATTTTGAAGAAAAATGTACGACCAAATACGTTAATAATATATCTCGAGGCAAGAGAAGAGTTCGTAGCTATCGTACGCGTACTCACTCTTCAGTCGTCTTATCTTGCTTTGTGCCATTTCCCAATCTCACTGTAAGAAACAGTACTATGACAGGCGTTAAATAAATTTGAATTGTATGACTACGGAGGAAAAGCTAGAGCCGCGCAATTATAGATCTCACTGAATAATACCTGTATGGTCGTAAATTAAGTGACATTCGTATTCGACTCTCGCTAGTGAATTTAAAAGTGGATTTGTCAATTATAAAATATTGAAACACTTCGTATCTCGGGTACACTTCGCGGAATCACTTATATGGAGAGATCTAGTCAGCAGGAGCGTATCAACGTATCCTCATAGGTGTCCGGTGTCTAACATAAAAATACATCATGTTCCGTGTTAAATAAACGTTACAACAATCTCCTATAATTGATAACGAGCGTGACGTAATTAGTTAATAAATAAAAGCATTTTTTCTTAATCTTTTACGCGAACCAACCTATTTCCGCAGGCCGACAGGATATTTGTATCCGGGCGATAGGACGTCTCGAGACGCTCCTGAAAAGTAGAAGCGAGCCAGTCAGTGCGCAGAAGAAACGGTTGCGTAGAGACGGGCGCGCAGTGCCAAAAATGTGTGTATCTTCCTCCGACGTCTCGTCCGAAATAAACATCGTAATCACGTGAATGCTGGACGTCCGTAAGTTAACCGCACGGGAAATCGTAAATGAATCTCGAGATAGTAACGTAGGTGCATAGTCAAATGGGTGTGACTGTAGAAGCAAGATATATCCGGCATTGCTACTCGACAAGAACGCTGGAATAGATGCTAGAAGGAAATACCACAGGAAAGGAAGGGTCCTTTATCTCAAAGTGACAGCAGCGGCCAACGTTTCGTCTCGCGAAATGGCGTCCGGCTGATCTGGATGGAAATCGTTGGGATTTTCATCGGCGGGATAAGCGACGCTTAAAAAAGTGACAGTGGATTGCTTCAGTAGGAATGGAGAACGCCATGCAACCTCCACTTCAACCGCCGCCATCGCTATCGTTGCCCCCACCACGTGCTGGATTACCACCGCCTCCGCCGCCGCCGCCGCCACTACTGGCACCGCCACCTCCACCCTCTACCTCCACCTCGTTGGACAACGCACATGCAGAGACTACTGTCACCCACGTTTTGACATTTGGTATGATCTTCTTTTTATCGCTTGTTGTCGTGTCGTAGTCCTTCTTCCACAGTCTAAAGGTACTCAAAAAATAGATGTTACGTAGATAAAAAATTCTTGGCTTTGATTTTTACTGTTTCAACAAATAATTTTTTTTTGTAACGTTCATTGCGTGCTGTTTCATTGTATATGAGCTGAGGATAACCTATATGAAGGAAAGCTGTGTCATGTGTGGTTAGGAGAAGAATGGTATCTTTTGTGGTTTTTTTATTAAGTGTGCTACTAACGTCTTGCAGGATTTTTCTTTGTCATGAATTTGTGTATCTGCCATGTGCACGGTATATGCATTGTCTTCCTGCGATGGATGCTTGTATAATATTTCTTTGTTTCTATTTTTCTGCCGCATCATTCGGCATTCTGTGGAGTCGCACCACTGTATTCTTATAATACCATAAGGCCATGATTATACGGGCAAAGTCATTAACAACAAAGTGTCGAAGTGGCGATATTCAAAGAGTATATTACGAAACGCGCTGTTTGATAACCAAAACCAGTATACCTAAAAAAATTATATAATAACATCAAGATTACGTAAATCGCGACAAATTGATAAACAAAATAAAAAAAATTGAACGTGGAATACCACGCACAAGAAGAAAACAGAGTTCAGAACCGACGTCATTCCTCTCAATTATTCACAAATATATTATCAACCACAAAAACAATGTTTGAACAAGAAATTTCGGTGCCATTCCTAAGGTAATATTAATCGCCATAAGTCTCACCATTCATTCCAATCGCAAACATTACCCGGAAATCATATACGGCCATGAAATAACTTCTGACAATCACCCACAAAACACGTTCAAAGACAAACTCGCAAAATCCAAACAGTCAGAGCGTACTATCACAATACTATTACCATCCCAAGTGCAGGGCCCAAACGTTGCGGTAATCCGGCACTGCGGAGGCCTCGGTGTTTTCCAAATCAGCTGTTAGCCGATGGTGGATGGGCGAACAAGCAGCGTCGGAGTAAGGGGATATCCAGTCAGTCGCCAACGAGACTTCGTTCCGTGCGCCACGTAGTAGCTCGTGGTTCGCACATTAACGAGCCGTTACTCGTCAGGGCGCAATATTTAACGAAAAACGTATTGGAAGGATTAGTGAGCGTGTCCCGGCGTGCTTCACAAGTGCACAAGGGGTACACGCAAAAGTCTAGTACAAGAGGAGCAGTGAAAGTGTGACGTTTACGACAATTGAATTAGTGAAAAAGAGTTCGAGAGGAAGAGATACGGAACGTGAATTTTTTGACAACGTGTATATATATATGTGTGTGTGTGTGTGTGTGTACATATATACACATACATATAATACAAGACCGTATCACGTTGCTCGGGTGGCAGATCTGCGTGATCGAGCGACCCCGTGTGCCTTGTACGTAGTACAACGTGTGTTACACTCCGGTGGGAGAATCCTTGAGAGTATGCATGCGCATAGTAGATGCACTTACTTATCGTGATATTAATTCATTGGCAAGAGAGAGAGAGAGAGACATCTTCGTCGTAACGCCGTCTGAACACATGGTCGTTGCCACGAAACAAGATTTTGCTGGAAAGTTCCAGAAAGCTACTGGATTTTAAAGGAAGATTTTACGTATCGATAATCTGAAACAGTTCGGCAGTGAGATTGCTACGAGACGATTGCAGGAATACAAGTTAAAAATATATATTTGGACCAACTCGAAGAATTTGAGGCAACAGCTGTGGGTGGTAGAGAAATTGAAACGGTTTATGGAAAAGTTGAAGATTTTAAAAGATCACTACTAACAGTGACTTTCGTAATAAGTAGTGACTATCCCGTGTCTTCTACCTCTGAAACAATCTGGCAAGTCTGAGCGTATACTTCTTTATCGACATACAAGCAAGAAAAATTGTATTCCTTGTCACTGGGAAGACCGGCGAAGTCGTAATCGCCATTCTGAAAATTCCATTTAATGGCCTTGTACTTGAAGCTAGTCTATACGTGCTGGACTTTGTGCGTCGTTATTGTAGCCAAGAAAATTTTACATAGAACGCAAGAACTTACCAAACAGAATTCTCAGTATCTAAATATACACGATTAATACGTATTGATCCTTACGTAGTCAATATTGATACTATAATCACAGGTTTAAGCTGAAGGATCATCGAACAGTACAAAAGCACTGTTTGAAGGTTAAGCGGTTGTTACATAAAGTCGCTCTAGTCGAGCACGCCAGTCGTGCACGAGACAAAGTATGTCAGTAGGATGCGCCTGAAAAATTGTCTCGATCGACTTTTCCTTCCTCTTTGACAAAACTGCAGAGCCGTCGCAAGGTTTAACGGAAGGAACGTTGGTAAAGTCGATACAATACTTATATACAGAGCTTTTGTAAATGCGTATCCTGTTAGTTTTATAGTGGATCATTGATTCCTTTTTTACCGACCGTTCATACCTATCAACTGTACAACCTGGAAGCAAGAAGCTAGCTTCCTCGTGTCAATTACCACGGATCCGTTTGTCCGACATACCTTTTACTTACACCTCCTACTGTTTGTGAAATACTGTGACTCGCAGTCGCAAAACCGTGGCCCAATAACAAATTGCGTCATCTGCTGTAACTTAGGAGCGCAGGCGGACAGCCGTGAAGGAAGCGGGTTGAGCGAGCAATGCTGTGAAATCATTTCGCCGAAGTGTCTCCTTTGCCCCTGAGCTCCTTTCTCGTTGCTGATACTATAAGAACGTTACAATACGGGAACAACGATAGCTGGGCTACTTGGTGTCTCAGTAGTTTGGCTTTTACATGCATGTCAGAGCTCAGGTCACCGAGGAGGATTTCCTGGATTCGTAGCATCGTTACAGCCGCTGCCACGGACAGTTTCGCTGCAACTGAAAAACGGATTGGACAATACAGTTGATAAGTGTTAAAAGAATCGTTCGACTAAGAGTTGCCACGGAAGAATATTCGTCGGTGATTTTTAAAAAATTCTTGTTAGTGACTGTCATTGGAGTTTTACACATCCCAGATACAAGAAGATGATCCTCAGGATGTTGTGACGTTCATTCTTAATACTTTGTTTTAACTGGAGATCATCCGGTTAGTACAAAACGAAAGTGATTGATCAGTGATCTACGTGAAGCGTCATCCTCAAGAAATCATACTCGCAGCTGTGTCACCATGAAAAATCCTGAGCACGAGAGTGGCTATTTCGAGGATGGCAGCGACGTGGAGATCAACGTCGACGAGCACCACGTTCTTAACGAACAGAGAAAACGCGGTTCCGGTTCCTATGGGATTACAAAAGCTATAAACGAGTTAGATGTCAGCGATTCGCCTGCTTCGCCTGAACCCATTACGTTGGAAGGAAGATCCCGAGGTACGCATAAGTAAATAGAGTTCCATTACTCTCCTGCTGGAATGTTCTAGAGACTCGTAGATTGACATAATAACATTGTTATTCGAATTCACTGTACGGCATATATTTTTCAATCCTCTCCACTCTTCCATTTATCCATTCTTGTCCTATATCATTGACTCGGGACGATGTTCAAAATTTGTTTAACGGCTGATAAGTCTTGTCAAAATTGCCATTGAGTTAAGCATTCGTCGACATAACACCGATTAAAACAGTTCTCCTAAGCACTTTCTCCTTGGTAACTACTCGCTGTCCAAACTCTCGTATTGCTGCCATCGCCGATGAGAGGTTAGGTCGCGTATTTGCGCAATTGTATCGTATTTCGCGTTACTTATTTACACACTGTATATAAAAGTAGACCGATAAATACACGATAATGCGGTAGTCTCGATAAAAATATTCAGTGCAAAAGAAAAAAAAAGAAAAAGGAACGAGTGATTTGGTTTTTTGGTCGAGGAAAAAAATAGATTTATCGCAAAACAATGATGTTTCATTTTTCTTCTTTACCGACGCGCACTATATCCTCGGCTGCGTTAAATTTACCCAAAGGATACTCGGTATTGTTATGACTACTACGCCTAGATTCACTCTTAAGATAAAATCAGGGATGAGAATCGTAATGTCATTTTGACCTTGGCTAATTTCACTGGGGTACCTACCTAACCCACACGCTTACCATTTCTCTCTACACGTGTTCCTAAGCCGTCTGTTCCATAACGTAACGTGTCCCCTACTGCTAAATTACTTCGAGCACTGATACACCGGGTTATCCAAGAGAAATCCGACGTTGGATAACGTCCCTGTTTCACTCGACAAGACCCGTTACTTGCTGTTCAGGAACATGCCATTCTCATCGAGCGTAACAGCACCAGCTTTTCAATTCGGTTTGCTTCTCGAACCAGCATAGCTATATAGGTATACATAAAGGGAACGTCAATTTTTTTTATTAGGGTTTCTTACAGTAATATCGATTTACCTGCACCCTTACGCGTTTAACTATTTTACCTAAACAATAAGCAAGTTTCTATTGGCTCCTAATTGCAAATTATATGGTTAAGCAAAATCATTTTGAAACGATACAAAAATATCGTTACTTAATTGACGGCTCGGAAAAGGGTCTAAGGAAGCCATTCTCGTTCAGTGAGGCTGATACGTATTTAAATTTTGTATACGTTGACTTAACGTCGGCTGCTAATAAATACTTCTCGTTTGTCTACTCTAAAAAAAAAACAGGCCCTGTCCTTGTGTTTCCAGATATGAAGGCCTTGAAATATTCCGAGCATAAATTTACGTGAACCGTTGCTCGGGTAAAGGCCATTCGCCTTGCGAAGATATTTTTCATAATACTTTTAGCAGGCACTGTATCTCAGATCGTTCTAACGATAAAGAAATTTGAACGTTCTATCAGTGTATTTCGGCTTTGTAATTCTTACGGACCAAACTTATAATTAGCCATACCTTTATTCGTAACCTGCTTCCGCTTTTCAATACATATACATACGATCTGACAAACATGTTGTTTAACCCGATAAGCAAATATATACGCAAATTTGTATTTTTTTCAGCGGGCACAGTCCTCTTCCTTTAGCATCTTTATGCGTATCTGTATACCTATATGCATATTGTTTTTGTTGCAAACTTTTGTCGGACATCGTTTTTCAACTGGAAACTAGTTTTTCCTTATAGACGTTGTCGTCGTGGTGCAAGGACGCCAATCGTTTGTTCCCAATGGCAGCGCGACAAGCACTCTGTCGCATTACGACACAAGGAGACCTTTATGTAATCACAAATCGTTAAAACTAGACACTCGTTACCGATAAACTTACTAACTTCATACAAAGGGCGATAATGATCGTCAGCTGATGCTTGCAATATATAACTGATACAAGATTCTCAGTATCTCGTTGGTAGGACAATTAAAATATTGTGACTTAATTGTTGGGTCGTGATTAAAAGAAATTTTTTTGAAGGGGCAAAGTACCGTGACAATTATTCGTAAATCAATTGAAAGAAAGCGTGCGAGGAATTCCCGGGATTTAACGGGAATCAAAATGCACGGTAACTTTGTTTTCCCAAGTTTGGTGAAAGGCCTCCGATGGCTACTCCCACTCCCGCTGATTTCGGCTTGAGTCTATTTTTGAAAACGGTTCGCCGAGAATCTCGCAAAATTATTTAGCGGCTCGAAGTCGCTAAATTGATAGACATTCCACTTACTGGTATTATTATTATTGTCGCGTGGGTTCTATTTGTCAATGTTGCAAATTGGCCGTGTCGATCTGCGATGAAACTAATGGCGGCGCCGAAAGGATCGGACCTTTGGTGCGTGTATACGAGAGAGAAAATAGATGGGAAAGAAAAGGGGGAATCCCCGGAATTGTGAAAAATGAAAGAGCATGCTTTTCGTATAGCCACTTGGACCGGTAACAGTTCTTAACGTTGGCAGCTCGCTGTCTGTGAGGTATAACTGAAAGAAAGTCGGTCCCGTTACGAAATAGCGAGTGAATGTTGACTATCTGGGTCAGGCAAAAGCGGAACTTCTGCACCTCTGCCATTAACGGCGAGCAATGTCTCTCCTCGGTGGCGGTTCATTTAAAAGTGTGGCTATTAACGCCCGCGACAATCTTCGCTCTCGTCGCTCATTGGGAACGACTATTCCAGTTACGGTTGGTCGTTCGCTCAAATTTTGGGAAAAACAAAAAAATTCGATAACTGGGTCGACCGTCGAATACATACCTACATCTGTGGGCTATACGTATAACTAAGTACGATCATGGCCGCTACCACCACCTTGACATGGTTTCTCACTGGTAACCAGGGCCGTCGTTACGATTTACCGGGGCCCGAATGGGACCCATTCTTTTCGGTAATTTTCGAGCTACCTGAGTTTCGTTAAGAACTTGAAGAATCGGGGTCGTGCTTGATATCTAACATCACGCGGAAGTAAATGCTCTTGAGCGGAGAAAGCGAAATTGTATTTAAGATTTATCTGGTGAACTTTTGCCAAAAATTTAATATTTTTTATTATTTTTTATTTTAATTTTTTATTCCATATCATTTCATATTACAGTCAATCTGGCGGACAGCGGAGGGCAGAGGGTGGACATGACCCATTTTGATCTGCTCAAAGTTCTGGGAACTGGAGGTACGTCTATTTGTGGAACCAGTGTTCCTCTTTTTTTTTTCCTATCTCGAATTGACATATTTTTGAAATAATATAGATAGTTGTCCGTTAATGTTTCTGTTTTTTTTTTTTTTTTTTTTTTTTTTTT